GAAGATTTGGGCCCACCTCTAAAGGAAATAAACCCATTTAGAAGTAATCAAGCACCAAGCCAAGTGGAGTGTCTAATGGGTCAGTAGCTACAGAATACAATAGTAGGCCCATTTATAAGGAAGCAAAACCTAATTCCCAAATGCACATTGGAAGTTTGGTAGGAGCAGCGGCGCCTTGTAGTAACTCGCAAGGAGGGGCAGTGGTTCGCCGGTTACGGAGGTTGGGAAGGGGTGATGTTGGAGACGAAGAACATGTAGAGGAGAAACTGCAGGGATTTTTCCTCAATATTCTTCTCACGAGAAACAAATGTTGTAATTGAAAAGGAGAAACCCAACCAGCTACTTACGCTATGTATGCTGGGTTCCTCCTTTCCAACTACAGTATTTCTTTCTTGCATATTTCCTAACAAGCTAAAGAAGCCATACATAAAAAGTAAATTTTCTCATCACTTATTTTTTTTTTTTATTATTTCGTATGCTTTCTTCTTCTTATTATTTATTTTAGAGTTGTTTTATTTTTATTTTTACTTGTTGGGCTTGGCCTTTTGGGTTTAATTTAGGATTTAGGTTATGACTGTCTCTCAACTTTTCTGTAGTAGGATTTTGTTCTATCTCCAAGTCCACAATCAATGGTTAACAAGCTCAGGAACCTTGGATTACCTTACCTATTAGTTAGTTGTTATTAAGGTAGTCTTTTCTGTTTGACCCTATTTCTAGGGGAACCGTTTTGTTCTATGAAAAACAAAAGACAAAGTAAGTGAATTACTAATCCTTGACATGATAAAACATAATCAAAACACACTTCGTATATTTTATTGAGGCACGGTATACTTACCGTTAATTTTCGTTAATCTAACTGTTATAATTTATCGTATTTATTTAAAATTAATAAATATTATCAAATAATTTTCAATAAATTATAACCGATCGACAGAAATCAGTGATTAGGTTAACTGTAAAGGTGATAAACTTTTTTGGTGGTAAATATATCTTTCTCCAGTTTATTTGGTACAAATACACGTGATAGATTTATTTTGAGTAAAGCCCATTGTATTTTAGGATACCAAAAAAAAAAAAAAAAGGCCCTTTTAGATGTCTAACAAAAAATACGATTCCTACTTTCGTTTCTTACAAAAAAAAAAAAAAAACTTATATTAGTCATTTTTTTAGGAATTAAATTGAATCTTTATTTAATTTCTGCGGGTCACATTTTCTAAGAATTTGAATTGTAAAGGACCAAAAGTTAATTTTTTTTATAAGGGATAAAAGAGATCATATTTTTTATTGGAGATCCAAAATAAACTTTATTCGTTTATTTTTCACGAGTAGTCCATTTCTAGGGGCAAAGCAGCCTCCGACACTGGTGATCCTAAAAAATAAAACAAAATAAAGGAAAAATTTCAAAAAAAAAAATCATGTAAGTTTCCAATTTCTTATCCCATTTTCAAAAATTTGAATTATTTATATTTATATTTTAAGTTTTTTAATCACTTATTCCCCAGTAAGTAATAATTTTTTTTTAAAATTAGGAATGGAAATAATTCAAAATTTCGGAAATAGAGAGATTTTTTAAATTTTCCCTAAAATAAAAAATAAAATAGGTTGCCTGCGGTTGTACGTGGGAATAAGTTTTATAAATCTACCAGATTGCTACTAATCAAATTTTATAATAATAGATTGAAGTCAATTTTGTTAGTGATAGTCCTTCTTGTATGTCAATTATGACTTTATGGGCGTTTGGTAGAGTATAAACTTAATAGTACTAAGAAAACATATTTTAATTTCTTTGATATAATGGGATGAACGATCAATAATGTGAATAAAATTATTATTGGTATAAAATGATTGTCACTTTATATATAATATGTGAGAAAAATTAATAGTAGTAAAAGGCATAATTCATTCTAGATTATTAAAGTAACAAAATGGAATAAGCAAATGAGAGTACAAAAGAATGATTACCTCTCGCACAGACACGTTCAGCGTGCGTTGCACGTATAGATTCTGCAAATCAAAGTGATCAAGAATATGGAGTAGGTGTTTCTCCAGGATTGACTTTGTATTAGCAGTATTGACCCTGTGATGGAGAATCCTATCTCATGCTCAAGTACGATGTTTCTATGGAGACCATTTGTTATGTTCGGGGATCACCATTTTTTAGGTGGTCCGTTAATATAAATGGAAAAGTAAAATTAAAAAAAAAAAGAAAAAATAATATAGATAAAAGGAAAAAAAATTGGTGTTATAAGAGCGAACATCAAATTATTAGATGGTCCTGAATCATAAAAAATATTTCAATTTTCATGGTGAATTCTGTTCTCTTTTATATTCGTATGGATATTTTCTGTCAAGTGGTGCCGCACACATATTGGAATTTCCTTCATAAATTGAGCATTAAAGTTGTGAAGTAGTTGTGTTCCAACAGGAATTTTTCCATAGAGATAATTATTTTTATGAATGAGTATGTATTCATCCATTTAAAATTAATTTTTAAATCATTTAAATTATAAGAGTTAAGAACATCTGTGTTTGTATTTTCAAATTTTGTTTTGAATTTGAGTTAATAAATTCGGCTTTAAATAAATTACTTCTTAAAGGTTATTTTTAAAACTTACGTAAATTTATTTTAATCTTCAAGATTGAAATAACAGCATAATAAAAAAAAAATCATATTATTTCATGTAATCAAAAATTGAGTAACAATATCTTATATAGTATAAAGTAATGTTTCGATATCATATGAAGAAAAAAAATTGATTTCGTTCTTTATTAGGATTTGACTTCAAATAATATTTTAGATTTGAGTTAATTAATTCGGTTTTAAATAAATTATTTTTCAAAATTTATCTTTAAAAGCTATGTAAATTAATTTTAAATCTTCAAGATTAAAATGAGAGCATAATAATAAAAATTCTCATATTATTTCACGTAAATAAAAATCAAGGAAACAATATTTGATGTAATACGGAGTTAATGTCTCGATATCATAGGATAACTTAGAAGAAAAATTTGGTAATACATTAATAAGAAAAAATTGCAAAACCAAAGAAATATTTGATAATAAAATAAGGAAAAATTGCAAAACCAAAGAAAAACTTGGTAATAAAATAAGGAAATTTTGCAAAATTAACAAAACACAATCATTCTAAACCTTAAAATTATTTGCTCGCTTCAATACAAGGTACATAGGAATATCTATATAAGTCATTTAAAAGTCTTGAATGAGAATAAATTTAAAAAATAAACTAGGATCTAATCAATAATTTAATTAATAGAGTATGAACAGACATATTAGGCTTAACCAAACTAGGATCTAATCAATAATTGACATGGAGATTCCTTAAATTAATTAATATCAAGTTTCTAGATGTATCAATCCTCTTTATTTCTTACGACTCAATTGATTTAATTTATTAATGAAATAAACTTTATGAAAGTCTTAAATGAGAATAAATTTAAAAAATACTGTAAAAACTAAGAAACAGAGTACGAAGGGCATATTAGGCCACTCAGAATTTAACCTAACTAGAATCTAATCAATAATTGATATGGAGATTCCTTAAGTTAATAATTATCTATGTTTCTTGATATATTAATTCTCTTTGTTACTTACAACTCAATTAATTTCTTAATTTAATTTTTTAAAATAAAATAACGATTTAAAAAGTCTCACAATAGATTAAAAATAACCATTAATCTCTATTCTCAGAGAATTAACTAGTACAATATTTTTTATATATAAATTTTCAATATATATATAAGGCTTAACAATTTTCAAGCTGCTTGAGATAATATTATCTCTGACTATTAAATCATAACTGTACAAAGATAGATTAATGGTGATAAAGGAAGAGAGAGAAAAAGAGAATCATAACCCTTCAAATGTGAATCCATTAATATATGGAAATAAATAAATAAAACGACGTAGTTTTGGAGTGACCGGAGATAAACTTATCTCAAGCTACTTGATAAATGTTTTTCCCATATATATATATATATATATATATATATATATATATATATATAGGAAAATATTTCTCAAGTTGCTTGAGATAATATTACTCTGGCTACTAAATCATAATCATACAAAGATAGATCAGTGGTGATAAAGGAAGATAGAAAAAAAGAGAATCATAATCATTCAAAGGTGAATCAATTAATATAAGAGAATAAATAAACAAAACGACGTAGTTTTAAATGGTCAAAGATAAATATATCTCAAACAGCTTTAAAAATATTTTTCTCATATATATATATATATATATATATTATATATACCTCAACCAATTAATTTATAAATAGAAAATTCAAAGAGCAATCCGGACAGTAATCAACACTCAATTGAATAAATAAAAAGAAAAAAGTGTAAATTAATAAAAATCTAATATATCATTATTCATATCAGCTAGAAAATTTAAATATCATGATTAAGGGAAGAAGAAAATAAAATAATAAAATAAATCCATTCTTATATGTTGCATATCCCTTGCTTAGAGCGGGCGTGATTAGGATTTTATTGCATTCTTGAAGAAAATGCAACTGATTCGTTCTTGATTATGTTTTGATTTCAAATAATTAATCTTTTAGATTTGGGTTAATTAATTCAGTTTTAAATAAGTTATATTTTTTAAGTGTATCTTTAAAAGTTACGTAAATAATTTTAAATCTTGAAGATTAAAATAAGAGCATAAAAAAATATCTCATTATTTCAGGTAATAAAAATTGAGGGAACAATATCTGATATAAGATAGAATAATGTTCTGAAGTCATAGATAACTTAGAAGGAAAATTTGGTAATATAATAAGGAAAAACTGCAAAATCAAAGGAAAATTTGGTGATAAAATAAGAAAAATTTACAAAATCATCATAATCCCTAAAATTATTTGTTCACTTCATTACAAGGTACGAAGGAATTTCTATATAAGTCGTTTACCATCACAAGTGATGCATTACAAGAATCATTGAGGCAACAATGCATTCTGCTACTGATCAATTTTCGATGACGTTTGGAAGTATAACTAGGCAAGTTAAAGAAGAGGAAGACAATGAAACAAATAGCAATCATGAAAATCACCATGCTACAACATCAAGTCATGCAAGTGTGAAAAAAATGTATCCTTGCAAGTTTTGTAATAAGAAGTTCAGCACTGGAAAAGCTTTGGGTGGGCACCAGAATGCCCATAGAAGGAAGAGAGAAGCAGCAAAAAGAGAAAAGATTCTTAGCATGACGTCTGCTCCTAAAAATTCACTCCCCAATTTTCAATCTCACAGTTTTGGCTTTACTTCACCTTATGTGCAACTCAAAGATGACTCATATCGTAATTCATGGCTAGGGCAACAAATGGTGAATTGTGCACAACCAACCACGCATGGGACAACCTTGATGTCCCACGAATCAAATCAATTTGCTTATTTTTCCATGCAAGGAGGAAAATCACAAAGTTCAGAGCAACAACAACAGTCACAAAGATCTCAGAGTTCTACCGCAAAGGAGATTGATTTCATTAGCAAGCTTGCACATAATAAGAAAATTTCTTATCAAGCAAGCAATTCTTCAAGGAGGCCTCGTAATGAAAATATAGAGGTGATTGATTTGACTCTCAGGCTTTGAAGTCCTCAGGCAGATCTAGATCAATGGAGATAAATTATCTTTAATTTATCAATTGTATTTTTTGGGGGATAAATTAGGATTTTATTTATTTTTTATATTTAATGTTTGTGTTGACGTTCATTTCTTAGTAATTTTTGTCGTATATGTTTAATTTCCTTTATATATATTTCAGTTATTTTTCTTTTCTTTTACATTTGTTTACTTTTCACTTCCATGCATGTTTAATTTAGTATTATTTTTATGGAGTTTATTAGTCTCAAATAATAGGAAAACAAAATTTTGTTCCCGCACACTAAATCAAAAGCGGGACCCACCAAGAAGGAAAAAAAAGAGAGAAAACAGCTCACTTATCAATGTGAGTGTAGGAGAGAGTTTGATTTTACTATTATTTGAGATAAATAAAACCCTATTTTTATATATCAAATATGAAAAGTGAATATTGATTGATTACTTTATATGATTTTATTTAAATTTTAGTAAAATAAATTAATTTGATTGCTAAGTTGGATCCAAGAATGAAGAACACCAACAATGAATGGAATATGAGAGTATAGCCCGTCGTTATAATTCGACTAAGAAAACAGAGAATGAATTAATACTCTTAACAAAGAAACAGACCCCTTCGGCGATCGATGGTCATGAAAAGCGTTATTGTTAAAAAATAAAAGGAACATGAAATGGCATCCAATTAGACTCAATGACTCACACGATTCAGGTTTTCTGAGTAATGAAGAAGTTTCATGGCAGAATATGCAGAATCCAAAATAAAGTTGATGCCAGCCAAGTGCTGAATGTGGTAAAAACTTTTTCTCTTAATTACCCTTCGGGATTAGAAGAAAGGATTAAGATTTAGGCAAAAGTTCCACGCACCATTTTCTCTCAGCTTTGAACGACAACAACTACCTACCAATACTTTGAAATCAAATTCTTGAATATTTGCCACCATTTATTCCCAATATTCTGAAGAATCTCTCTTTTACAGTGCGTTGTCATTCTCTGCAGCTATTGTGGTCTTATGGTCTTAACTTGCAACCTACTCTACTCATGTGTAATATGAATACTTTAATATTTAAATTTCTATATATAGTACAAGGATTCCCGATTGTATGTAGAAAAGCTGCTTTGTTAGACAAGGAGAAAAGACATACATAGTGGATTACTAATACTTAACATGATAAAACATAATCAAACCACACTTGATAGATTTTATTTGGTACAAATACATATTATAGATTTATTCTTCATCAGTAGTACACATCTTGGTGCAAAGCAGCCTCTCAGTCACAGACACGGGTGCCATGTATGTCCTGCAAAATAGAATACAACGAAACATAAAAAGGTCTCCAAAATTTCATGAGCAGTGGTAGGAGACAAGCTTGCCTGCGGTTGCAAATTGCAAGAAGTTTTGTTTATCTACTTATCAAATTTTATAATAATGTATTGAAATCGATTCTTGTTACTGATAGTCCATTTTTTATGTCAATTATAACGGTGAATTCTAATTGGAGCTGGCACTTCTGAGTGTGAAAATAATTAACAAATGAGATGAGAGTATGAAAGAACACAAGTAGTTACCTCACACTAAGACACGTTCAGTGTGCGTTGCACGTGTAGATTCTGCCAATCAAAGTGTTCAAGAATATGGAGTAGGTGTTTCTCCAGGATTGTATTAGCAGTATTGACCCTATGAAGCCACAGAAACCTGTGAAGAATCCCATCCCCATGCTCATGTACAATGCTTCCATGAAAACTGAATTATCATCCCTCTCAAGTGCTGGTGGTTTCTCTTCTTTTGTTTCTTCATCAGGACATTTTCTGTCAAGTGGTTGTCCACACAGATCGGAATTTCCTTCATAACTTGAGGCATTAAAGCTCTGTAGTTGTGTTCCGACAGGAATCTTTCCACACAGATGATTGTTTGAGAAATCCAACATTGTGAGACGATCAATCTGAGCTAGACTTGAGGGAATTGTTCCTGAAAGATGATTTCTCGACAAATCAAGAAATTCTAGGGACTTGAAGTTTCCAATACTTGAAATGATTTCCCCGCTGAGATTGTTTCTTGATAAATTTAATGAAATCAACCCAAATAAGTGCTCAATTTCTGTTGGTATTTCTCCCGTGAGATGATTGCTCGAGAGATCAATGCTTTTTAAAAACCGATCAGCATTTTTGAAGCCACGATCTACACCTTTCCACATCAAGAATAGGTACAAATCCCAGAATGTTAAATAAGAAACATCTCCGACTTTGTAAAGAATATACCAACGATCGGTTGAGCTGGTAGTGTCCTGAGCCATTGCAGTAAAATTCATTATGCATGTTGGGATTCCTCTTGATAAGTTATTTCGTGAGAGATCCAATACTTGAAGTTTTCTTAGAAAACAGAGATTTGAGGGTAGACTTCCGTAGAGGTAGTTGGATCTAAAGCTTAAGATTATCAATTGTTGTAACCTTTCTCCTATCCACAAAGGTATTGGATCATAGAACTTATTCTCTGCAATGTCCAACAAGACCAATTTGGAGCAATTCTTCAAAGAGGAAGGTAATTGTCCACTCAAACTATTATTTCTTAAAATCAAAGCCTCCATATTAGTAAGGGCACCCATTGAGAAGGGAATATTTCCTGATAATTTGTTATTGCTCAGGTCCAGAAACCGTAACGAGTTTAGATTGCTCCAACAATCAGGCAGCCTACCCGTTAATTCGTTGTTTGATACATCCAAAATTTCCAAAAAGTTAGCTGTGCTTTTGCGGCATACAAATGATGCTAAAGCTGAGAATCTATTATTAGAGAGATGCAGTGCTGATGCTTGCAACAAAAACATGGGAATGGAACCTTGAAATTGATTTGAAGACAAATCTATTTCAGGATTGTAGGTAAGGTTGAGTATCACATTCGGAATCTTGCCCGTGAGATTGTTGTTTGCAAGATCCAGGTAAACTAATGCTTGCAATTTGTCCCAAAACCAGATAGGTAAGGGATCCCCATTCCCGACATTTGAATTTGAGATGTCGAGTGTCTGTAAATGATTTTGAGTCTGGAGCCAATTAGGAATTGTAGAATCCAGTTTGCAAGATTGTAGATACAAATATTGTAATTGGAAAGGTGGAAGCCAGCCACTACTAACCTTCATAGTCAAGTTATCAGACAAGCCTAGGCCTTTCAATTTGGAAAGGTTATTGAAATGGGATTCAGAGACGATACCTTCCAAAGAATTTCCATCCAGGTACAAATACTCTAACTCCGTAAGCAATCCAATGCTTGCTGGTATTTCCCCAATTAACTGATTGTCACTAAGCCATAACCATTGCAAAGATGAGAAAATTGAAAGGTTAGGTAACGTGCCAGAAATTTGATTTCTTGGTAAATACAATTCCTGTAACGAGGATCCAATGCATTCTGAGGAGTTATGAATAAAACTTGAAAGCTCCCCACTCAACCGATTGTCATCAGCCCAGAATGCTTGCAAGGTGCACATATTCCCCATGGATTTTGGGATATTGCCTTCTAGATTGTTGTATGAGAGATATAGATATTCAAGTGAATGCATTCTGTTGCCAAAATCATCGGGAATGGTACCTCTTATGAGGTTTCTGGTAAGGCGGAGCTCTTGAAGATTGGAGCTGAAGTTAAGCACCCAGTGGAATACAGTTGGTGATGTCAAATAATTGTAAGAGAGATCAAGGATAGTAAGAGAAGTGGAAATATTCAAATGGGAATTAGACAGAGGAAGAATATCAGCATCAGAAAGGCCACAATCACTTAGCCGTAATTCTTTAAGGCTCGGAAGCTTACCAAGGAATTGCAGCGAGTGATGAGAAGAATCGTTGAGATTCTGAATTTCACTCAAGTCAAGACTTGTCAAGGAAGGGAGATTTGAAAGCCACTCATTATATGCATGATCTTGGTTGTTAATTCTAAGATTAGAATTGTTACCAAGTCCAAGAGACTGCAACATTGAAAGATTTCCAAGTTGATAAGGGATTGCTCCAACAAGATCGTTGTAGCTAATATCAAGACACCGCAATTGGGAGAGATTTCCAAGTTGATAAGGAATCTCCCCAACATAACCACTGTATGAGAGATTAAGGTATCTCAATTTGCTGAAGGAGCCAAAGAGTTTTGGGATGTGACTACTAGTGTTTAAATAACTGAGGTCCAGATATGTGAGATGTTGCAGCACAGTTATTGAAGGATTGATTTCACCACTCAGATGGTTTGTTTCCGAACCCTGCAGATCAAGCCTTTGAACATAGCCTGTTTCATTGATGCATTGAACTCCCTTCCATTTGCAACAATCTGCATTTGGATCATCCTTCCATGTTGACAGCATGCCACCGTAATCTTGGAGGCCTTGTTTAAACATGAGGAGTGCATTTCTCTCCCTCTCTATGCACTTTGTTTCTCCATCCTTGGTTGCTATGTTGAACCCAAGGATGGAGAACACCAACGATGCATGGAATATCAGAATATAGCCCCTCATTATAATTCCACCAAGAAAATAGAGGATCAGTTTATAATACTCTTGAAAGCTAAACAAACCCTTATATAGAATGGGAAAAGTGTATGTAGTTTTAAAGGATACTTTTTAAGAGAGAGATAAACATAAATGGGTGTGAGTCACATTGAAAATAAATAAAAACAAAAAAATAAAGGTGTAGGCTTTATCTTTTTTTGTCTATCTCTATTTTAAAAGAATATAAGTTTGTGTCATTTAAAATGACACACATTTTTTCCAAAAAAAAAATTATGTTAAAAAATGGCGTATTTTTTTCTTCTCCTTTTTGTTATTCCCTTAACTTTTTTTAAACTTAAATTCTTAGTTGTTTCTTATTTTAATAATGGGTTTAAAGTTTCTAAAGCTACTTTAAATAAGTTTATTTAATGTTAATTAAAATACACAGATAAAAGTGTATCAGACTCATTTTTTTTCCTCTTCTCTTCACATGGGTTCATATGGATCCCGCACATTTTTTCTGTATATTTTGGTGAACATTAGATAAAGTAATTTAAAGTAAGGTTCGCTTTTTCTGCAGTTACTGCAAATAAGTTATCTACAATAAGCCCAATACGACGTCGTTTTGGAGCAGAAATCATGGTATTTTTGTAATTTTAATTTATTTCAGGGTTATAATAGTTTTTATATTTATAATTTTTTAAGATTTCAATACTAAAACGACGTTATTTTGAGAATAAATGCAGATAACTTACCTGCATTAATTTTTTAAGATTTCAATACTAAAACATTTTTCGTAACTTTAGAAAGTTTAAACCATATTTTTTTTCTTTGTGGTAGCATTTTCCACGTTATGCTTTTATCATAATTGTTTATTATTTGTGTTTCATGAAGACAATATTCCTTAGGATATTTTTAAGTCAATATTAGGTGCATCAATATCAACAAGAGAATCTTATGTTTGATTATGACAATAATTTGTGCATTGAATGGATGAACAACGCTTGTATGTGTTATTTTGGACTTTTAGATTTATTCCATAGTTTAGGGCTTTTTGGCCTTTTAGGTTTATTTTCATTTTATTTTGTTATGCCTATTTAAATCATGAAGAACACCATTGTTATTGGGTTATTTTTGGTTAATAAAATTTAGAAAAGAGAAATAGTTTTTTCTGGCAATCCTTGTCTTCATTCTTTTTTTTTGTGTTTAGCCAATTGGTTACTGATTCGCCATTATTTGATAATCAGAGCTCTAGTTGTCACATAAATGGCTGAACTAAACAATGGCAGTTGAGGTCATGGACGACGGGGTTGAGGCGACGATAGTGGTAGAAGGCGTGGTAACACCCTTAACGGCGACGATGAATAACCACACATCTACGCATGAGACGCCATAATTGTAGCTGCAATAGCAGAACAAGATATACGAATTCAGGAGCTAGAACAACTGCTTGCCCTAACATAGTTGGACGAGTCAGATTAAGGAAGGAAGTCTGAAATATTATCTCATGTAGAGGAAAGGAGCAAAAATCCATTCTGGAACCTGGAGCTACAATGACGAAGTCAACCTGGTGAAAAATCATTTTTTGCTAATATTGGGGTGAAGATTGAGATCCCGAAATTCAAAGGCACCATTCATCCATATGAGTTTATCGATTGGTTACACACCGTCAAAAGGGTCTTTGATATTAGAGACTTGGCAGAAGACCAGAAGGTCCTTGTCTATTATGAATCCAAAGAAGATAAGAACAATAAGTATCCATTCTATGATGAGGTCCTTATCTATGATGAATCTGATGAAGAGCAAGATAATGAGAATCCCATTATGGATGCTCCAGTTTATGACGAGTTTCTTATCTACGATAAGTATAATTGGGAGCAAGACGATAAGAATCTAGAGACGAAAGAAATACCTTATAGTGATTTCGGTGGAAAGTCAATTACTAGAAATTCTAATATATCTAACAAAGCTGAAGTTCTATCCAAAGATGCCAATAGAAATGATCCTTCATTCAAGCCGTCTTTAGTTTGCAAACAAAATTATGAACTTGGACACAACGAGCATAACAACCCCATGCTCCATGGAGATAAAGATTTAGCTTTTAGCATAAGTTTAATTGGAGATAGTCAGGGACAATGAGACTTGATTTTACCTCAGACAGAATTTTTCTATGATGGATCGCAGGTGCGACCATTGAACCAAACTATACGCAATAGTCTTTTTTGGTTGTTTATGGATTTTGTCCACCTACTTCTTCGGAACTCGCATTATTTCTAGTCCCCAAGCAGTTTAGTTTAAATAAATGCAAATGAACTTACCAAGTATATCAAAGAATTGCATTCACAAGTCCTGTCCTTAATTAGGAAATTTGATGATATTGTTACAGAAGAGTTGCCACCTAAGTTACCACATGAAAAAATTGATATTGATATTGATGAAGAGATTCGAGGACGAATCTTTTCCTAGCTGAGGAGGATGATGCACCTAAGATTGACTTAGAAATATTCATGTGTTCTTATGTGTGTCATTTTGGGCTTTTTAGGTATATTCTATAGTCTAGGGCTTTTAGGTTTTTTTCATTTTATTTTGTTATACTTATTTAAGGCATGAATAACCCTATTGTTATTAGGTTGGCTTTGGTTAATAAAATTCAAAAAAGATAAATAATACTTTCTTTGTTTTGAGTCTTTCTTTCTATTTAGTCAATGATGTATTGCTTCGGCATTAGATACAATCTCAACTCTCATTGATGGAAAGGAAAAAACAATTAAAAAATAAAAGACTTCAAAACGTTTGGTCTTTTTAAACTCCAAAGTCTTCAAAATTGAAAATAATTGCATCAGTAGTTAACTCAAAAGCAAAATGCGCGTGGAATGGAAAAAGGAAACGGTAAGTGGATTCATCACGACTTTATACAGTTCAAGGTCAAAGGCAAAGGAAATAACATAGTATATAACTTTAGATGTCATGCGGGGAATGATACACTCATGGAATTTTGAAACAAATTGATTATCAATTCAAATAAAAAGAAAATAATTGGATGATTGGATTGACATCTTCGTTAAGCTTGAAAGGAAGCTGAATGAAAAAATCTTTGTTCTTCCATAGAGGATGAAGATGAGAGAATCCCTCATAATTATTTGCACACAAAGACAAAATGCGATTGGCAAATAATGCTCAAGCTCAGAATACTATTTTGAAAAGACTTGATACTAAGTAGAATGGAAAAAGGAAACGGGAAGTGGATTCATCATGACTTTATACAGTGCAAGGTCAAAGGCAAAGGAAACTAACATAGCATATAACTAGAGGACATATGGGGAATGATGTGGTGTTTGATATACGAATTTTTTTTTAATTAGGAAACAAAAATTTCTGGAATATAGTAGGAAATTTTTTTTCCGTATAAATTACGAAAATGTGTTTGGTAGGTTCAAAAGTTTTTCAGAAATATTGGGTTAATTATATTTATGTTATGAAAAAATAAAAATATCATATATCATCTGATATTTTTATTTAAAATTCTGTAGTTAAAATTGAAATGGTGGGGGAAAAAACTTTCCGGGAATATTTTCAGTTTTCTCATATCAAATGTTGGAAAAAAAAATTGTCCCACCCCACTTTCTCAAGATTTCTAAAACAATATCCATACCAAACAGCCCCTACGAAATTTTGAAATAAATTGATCATCAATTCAAATAAAAAGTAATGGCGATTTCTAGGAATATTAAAGGAATGAGAAGTTTTTTTTTTCCTCTAAAAAATGAGAAAATATTAATTTATACCGACATAAATAATTTTGGATTAATATAATTTTATGGTATGAACATTTAATCTAAATTCTAAAGATGAATTTTTTCTAGTGCCAGAGTAATTTTAACATATATCAATGTGAACTAATCACTCAACGAATGAAATAGATTGAAATAAGTTTGTTAATATTTTCACCTCACGCCCGCTTCGATATAATTATTTCCACTTATTTACGGTTTATTTGGATCAACTTTTGAAGAAAAAAATTACATTTTATGTCTTGCTTATTTTGAAAAGGATTTTTTTAAAAGGTAAAACTATATTACATTTAGAGGTAGAATATGAAAAACACTTTTAACTAAATATATTATTTAAATGTTAAAATAAAAAATATATAAAATTACTAAAAAAGACATGTAAAACAAATTTTTGTGGTGAGAGACAGTGGAAGAGGTGGCAGGATGGTGATGGTAGTGGAGGTGAAGTAATAGTGGTGGCGACGATAATGGTTTGGATAGTGATATAATGGTAGTGAGATGGTGGAGGTGATGGCAGCGATGACGAATATGGTGATAATGATGACCAGGGTATGGTGGTGACAAAGATAACAGTGGTAGAGGAGGTGGTGGTAACAATGACGGTAGTGACATCAATGAAGGTGAGATTGGATTTATGATGGTGATTGTGGCGGTAATGACAACAACGATAGATGATGGCGGGAAATGTGAGATTAGTGGACTTGAGGCAAGTTTTAATTTTTTTAAAAATATTTGAGTTTTAACTTTTATTTGTTTAGAAGTAAAAAAATTTAACTTAAAAAAATGCTTTTAGTTTTTTATTTTTTTTAAAGCATACATTCAAAAAGTACTTTATTACGAGAAGATTCAAAAAGTACTTTATTACGAGAAGGACTTCTTCTTTCTTTTCTTTTTTTAAAAAAGATTTTGAAGAAAAACTAGCTCATCTAAACATTTCACGGCTGTTTCCCTCTGACTATTTTGTTTCGACATTCCTGTGTTACTTAGGGTATATTTGGTGCATAGTATAAGATAAGACCTGATAGTATAAGACCTGATTGAATTTTAATACTATTCAGTGTTTGGCACGGTATTGTATAAAATAATATATTGTATAAGATAATATCATCTAGTATTTGGTGATGCACTGTATAATACTATATAGGATAAAAATAAATATTTTTAATAAAAATATCCTTTAATAAAGAATTTATATAATTCTTTAAAAAATGTCATATGATATTAATTTTTATAAAAATTTATTGATCATCCAAAACATAAATTAATTTTTATAAAAATAAAAATATTCAATATTTTAAAAATTAGTATATTGAAAAATTAATTTTTATTTTAATATATTAAAATTAAAATAATATATTAATTTTTGAGAATTACACTGGTCAACGATGTTAATACACCGACCTCTTATCAGGTCTTATCCCTCCCCCTAGGCCAGATTAAGTTATACATCATTTTGATGTATTAAGAGATCATGTTATATAAGCTTATACTATACGATGGTCACAACAACTAAAAATGTCATAATATATAGTATAAACTTATACTATCAGGCCTTATACGTCACACTAAAAAGGCCCTTGTGATCATAACTTGCAACCTACTCATGTGTACACACGTTCGTATGAATGTTTTTATTTTTTATTTTTTTTGTATATAACATAGGAATACTTTAGCACCCAAATTCTATTGATAGTATAAGGAGTCTGCACTGTACATAACCTAAAAAAAAGTTGTTTTTCGTAGAAAGGGAAAAACAAAATACACAGTGGATTACTAATACTTAACATGATACAACATAATCAAATTTAAAGCAGCCTCACAGACACGGGTGCCAAGTAGTTCCTGCAAAATAGAATACGACGAAATATAAGATATCTCCCCTGAGATTGTTCCTTGATAAATTTAATGAGATCAATCCAAATAAGTACTCAATTTCTGTTGGTATTACCCCTCTGAGATGATTGCTTGAGAGATCAATGCTCGTTAGAAGCAACTCCTTGTTGTTGAAGCCACGATATACAGCTTTCCACACCAAAAGTAGGTAGAAATTATAAAAGCTAGCATATCCGTACTAGGAAAAATACGCATGCTGCATTAATTCACTTGTGTTTGTACCATCCTGCGTCATTGCAGCAAACTTCTTTATGCATGTTGGGATTCCTCCTGAGAAGTTATTTAGTGAGAGATCCAAAACTTGAATATTTGTTTAAAGACAGAGATGTGATGGTAGACTTCCATTGAAGTAATTCACTCTTAAGCTTAAGGTCATCAATTGTTGTAAGCTTTCTCGTATCCACGAAGGTATTTGGACCAGACAATTATTTTCTCCTAAATCAAAAAAGGCCAACTTGGAGCATTTCTTCAAGGAGGAAGGTAGTGCTCCAATTAAACTATTATTTCTTTAAACCAAAGCCTCCATATTAACGAGGGAACCCATTGAAGATGGAATATTTCCTGATAATTGTTGTTGCTCATGTCAAGATACTCTAATGGGTTTAGATTATTCCAACAACCAGGAAATTTACCCTGCAATTGATTGTCTAATACATCCAATATTCCCAAAACTTGAGCTGTTCTTTTGCTACATAGAAATGAATCTAAATCTGAAAATTTAATTTTAGAGAGATGCAGTGCTGATGCTTGTGATAAAAACGATGGAATGGGACCTTCAAATTGGTTTGAAGCAGACAAATATAGTTCTGGATTGTAATTGAACTTGAATGGCAAATTTGGAATAGTGCCGGTGATATTGTTGAATGAAATATTCAAGGTGTTCAGAGATTGCAATCTTCCCCAAAACCATTCAGGTATGGGATCCGAATTCCCAACATTTGAAATGTCTAGAATCCGTGAATCATTCTGAGTCTGAAGCCAATCAGGAAAGCTAGAATCCAGTTTCCAAGATGTTAGATACAAAGAATGTATCTGGAAAGGAGGGACTCAACCAGAACTAATTAACCTTGATAGTCAATGAGTTATGTGACATATCTAGGAATTTCTTTTCTTTTTTTCTTTTTCTTTTTGATACATACATATCTAGGAATTTCAATTTGGTGAGATTGGTGAAATGGAACTCAGAGACAACAACACCTTTTAAAATATCATTGCCAATTTAAAGTTTTTGAAAATTGGAGCTCAAGTTAAACAGCCAGTGAAAATGGTTGGCGTTGCCAAATAATTGTAGGAAAGATCAAGGATGCTAAGAGAACTGGAAAATTTCGAATGAGAATCAGTTGAAGGAAGAATATCAGCATCATAAACACCAACAGTGCATGGACCCCGTATGCAATAAAAACACCAACAGTGCGGGTATAGCCCCCCATAATAATTCAACTAATAAAATAAAAAGTAAAATCTTTTTTGGGTTCCTAACAAAAAATATGATCCCTGCTTTAGTCCCGTACAGAAAAAAAATAGTCTCGAGGTCTCTATGAAATTCAAAGTGGACCCATTTTAGTTCTTTCGAGGAACTCATGTAGGTCTTTTTTGAATTTGTGAGGATCACGATTTTAACTTAATGGATTAACTTTGAATTTTTTAAGGACCTCGAAACTAATTTTTTTGTTTGTTGTTGAATATGTTTTTTTGGTGACGATACGAGGTATATCGGTATAATGCTCCTAGATCTAGACAAAACATTTTATATAAGGGTTTTATTATTCTCCTTCAACATAAGATAGGTATCTTATGTTGTAGAGATAAAATGAGTGGGTCCCACCATTACAAGAAAAAACAAAAAAGAAAAAGAAAAAGATGAGGTGCGAAAATTGAAGTGAGAGAGTAGGAGAGAAGTAATCTTATGTAAAAGGAGAGTAATATTTCCCTATATATAATTAAAGAATTATGCGATGACTAGACTTTTGGGAGTAAGACTTCATGTGCCAGTGGAAGACTGACTTCATGTGCCAGTGGAAGACTGAGTAAGAAATACCACTTTGAAGTCTTTGGAGTTTAGAATTGGTAAAAAAGAAGCAATGTGGAGACTTGGGAGTTTAAACTTGGAAAAAGAGAGAATTAGGAGACTCCCCATGTATCTGGTTTTAAAACCATTTCTTGCGCAGTGTACTGTTCATCCACTTTGTACTAAAGTATAGCTCAACAAAAGTCAAAAGCAAAATGCACGAGTGGAATGGGAAAAGGAAACATGAAGCGGATCCAAAAAGGCTCCATGGCTGTTATGATTTAAGTCTTCTAGCTCCTTTTACAAGTCAGAAAATTAAGCGGACAAGAGAACAAGTGACAAGATTCCTTGGAATGGATTAAATGATACAATCAACTATTTTCTATGTTAATGTTCTCTTCACTAGACCAAATATAGAAGATCTATACAGGAAAACAATTTTGGAAATTTTTTAAACATATGGAACATCATAGATGGCACTTCTTGACCGAGGGCCATTCCTTTTTTTGAGACCCTATTTCTAGGGATTTTTTTTTTTTATTCAGTGCAATACATAAAAGCTGACCTAAAACTCAAGTTTATAAATGATGGTAGAGGATAAATTTTTCGGTGTGGAGAAATCATGATTTTCAGAAATATGATGGGAAAATTATTTTTTTGGGAATGGGAATGTTATCGAAAAAATTGTTTGGTAAATTAAAATATTACTTGGATTTTGTTCAAAAAAAAAAGTGTAAATTTTTTCTAATAACATCTGGGATTCAAAAAATATCACCATTTTTATGGTATTCTTGGATACATTTTACAAGAAAAATTGTGCACAACAAAATCCTGAGAAAATCAGATTTTCGAAAAAAAATTCAGAAACCTTATACCTAACATGGGTAAATAGGATTACCACTATCACTTTTCCGGAAATCTCTAAAATATCCCCCTACCAAACACTCCCTAAGAAAAATATAAGAATCATGTTGCAGAAATTTCTGCAACAAAAAAATGTGTATTACGGGTAGTATATAGTTATACATAGTTATACAAGTATAAAAAAAATTAATATTATAACTATATATTACCTGTAATACATAATTATGTACTACCCGTAATACATAGTAATAAGAGATATAAAAAAATAACTATATATTATCTATAATATATATATTTTTTATTTTTTTACAGAATATCCTACAACAAGACATCGGATGAACCCTTTCTCTTATAACTCAAACTTCAAATCAGATTAGTATGGTCCATTAAGATTTCAGATACATGTGGGTATTAAAAAAAACCCTATATATACAGAATTATGATCAACAAATTTTTATTTTTATTTTTATGGACCATTTTGTCATTCCCTTCTTCTAGGATATAGAAGCCAATAGATAGGTAAATTCACATTATGCGAGGAAGATGTGAAGATAACACTTAGGAATAGGACTTCATATATGTGTGGAAGATTTGGAAAAGGATGGCATTTAGACGTCTTTGGAGTTTAGACTCATTGAACCACTTTACATTAATTTTTCCTCGGAGAACTGAGAACATCCGTTCAATCTTATCCGGATTAGAATTAAAAAATAAATAAAAAAATCAACAGACTTCCGCAATTTATGAGGCAAAATGATGATTTTGCAAGTGGAATGGAAGAAGGGTAACTTTTTTCTTTATGGTTTTTTTTTTTTTTAATTTCTTTATGGCTCTTAACCTGTACAGCGTGCTCAAACAATACATATGTATTAAGACAGGGAAATGATCCGTCTTGATTAGTGTATGACTGGTCAAACATAGTGTAATTTGTAAGAATTTGTAAACAAAAAATTTGTAAATATAACATTTTCCATTAAGATATACTTATTTTGTAACCCAAAAAAAAATACTCATTTAGTTCAATATGGTGAGACGTTTAATTATTATTATTCATGTGAAAGGTCTAATTTTACTTGACTGTTCGAGATTCTTGTGTTATTTATGGTTAGGGTTGGCAAAAACGAGTCAACCTGTCGGGTTGGCTTGTAACCCGTCAAAAATGAGCCGGGTTGGATTGGCAAAAATGAGCTGTCAACCCAACCTGAGCCAGCTCGTGAAAAAATGAGTAAACCTGCAGGTCAAACGAGCCAGCTTGCGGTGGTAATGGTGGTGGAGGTGATGACATGGTGGTGGTAATGGTGGTAGCGGCGATGGCAATAGTGGTGATGGCATGGTAGCAGCGGTGGTGGTAATGGTGGCATGGTGGTGACAGTAGTAGCTGCGACGATGGTGGTGGTGACAGCAGTGGTCGCAACGATAGTGGTGATAATAGTAGTGGTGACAGTAGTGGTGGTGAAGGTGACGACATGGTGGTGGTGGCAGTGGCGATTGTGTAGTGGTGGTGGCAGTGGCAATGGCGTGATAATGGTAGTGGTGGTGGCAGCGACAGTGGTGGTAATGGTGGCATAGTGGTAGCGGCGGCGGTAATGGTGGTGGTGGTGATGGTAGTGGCTGCGATGATGGTGATGATGATGACTTGGTGGTGGCCGTGGCGGTGGCATGATAATGGTAGTGGCGGCGGCAATGGTAATGGTGGTGGTAGTGGTAATAGCAGTGTCTACGACGATGATGATGGAGATGACATGGTGGCAGCGGTGGCGACAGCGGCGATGGCGGTAGTAGTGGTGGTGGTGGTTGGTGACGGTAGTAGTAGTGATAATGGTGGTGACAGTGATGTGGTGGTAATGACGATGCTGGTGACGTGGAGGTGGTGGTGGTGGTGGTACGACGATGGTAGCGGTGGTCATGTCGAGATGGTGGTGGCGATGGTGATGATGGCAGTGGTGGGGAGTGTGGTGGGGAGTAATTGAGAGAGATAAGTGTTTCTCATTTTGTATCAAGGAACAAAAAAGCAGAAATTTTTTAATTCTTTTTTCTCTTCCCCCACACAAAAAATAAACTGGTTCATCTCGAGAACAAAAAAATAAACCAATTTTACCAAACGAGTTTTCTATCCATTTCTATTCTCGGGAGCAGAAATTAGAAAAAAAATTGATTCTGGGAAGGTTGTCATGCACACTCATAATTACTAGGAATGTGGTGTGAAAATGAGTTTGGTAGGAAAGTTAAAAAAAAATTATTTGGTAGGCCAAAATATTACCGAAAAAATTGGATTAAGATTACTGAGTCTATGTTTGGTTAAAAATAAAATATTGATGGAAAAGTGGGTTGAAAATACGAAAATAACCTTTTTATTATTTTTGAATCTTTATCTTTATCTTTATCCAACTCCACACATTGCAAATGCAAAAGAATTCTTCATAAGGTACTCTCTTAGCAAAAAAGCGCCAGACAACAACTGCAAATGCAAAAATTAGTACTGGAAATTGCATTCCGTCACCTAGAAAATGCTTCAGAAAAGACATATGCAAAAATATGGATAAGGGTAGTTTGAGCATAAGTCTCAAGCATTCATATATGGATAAGGTATTATGGTCAGATTTTTCGTTGCCTTTTGTCCATTTAGCAGTCTAACTCACAATACCACATTCAAAGTGGTTTTATTGAGCAGTGATTTCTTTCCATTTTACACACAAATGTCAAAGTCTAGGGAAATGTGTTTCCTATCAAAATTTTGTAATATTCTAAACCAAACGTGGAAAACAAAGAATACCTATCTATGATGCCTGGGTATCTCCTAAAAAAACCTCTACCAAACACCACCTTTGATCTTTTCCACTCTTCTTTCTTCTTCCTCGACAGACCTGCACCCTCCATGTTTTTTTTTTCTTCAAATTCTCATCTCCTTGATTACTCATTAAAACACCAAGCTCACTTAACAAAAGTTTACCTTAGGACCTCACTAGTAAAGCCCTAGTATTTATTCACCTTGGTAGGCCATACTTTGTGATATTTTTCGCCTCCAAAGTGGCGGTTAGTCATGGTAGTTAAAATCTCGATTTAAATCTGCGCTTTTACGATTTCACGAATTTTTTTAATCAAAACGATTCCATCAAAATTTCAAACGCTTTTACGTTTTTACGATTTTATTTACGTTAGCATTTTACATTTTACAATTTTTTATCCTCCTTTCGATTTTAGGTAAAATCCCAATTTTAACTACCACGGCGGTTAGTCGGTTACTGTTCACTCAAAAGGGAAAAAGTGATGTTTTCGTGGATTCAAAACTTAGAGATGAACCTTTGCGTAGTGTGGAACTTGTTAGAGTGTTGGGAAATAGCAAATGGTTGCATTGAAGCTTGAAAACATGGTTGATTCTTCAAGTGTGCATTTCGACCAAGAGAAGAAAATGTTGCTTGAAGTCATGCTTGATGTTGGGTGAGGATTGAAAGACAAATACAATATTAATGCTAATGTTACCAAGGTAAGAAACACCAACTTAGTTGTAAATTTTGCTAGGATTCCTTTATGTATGATTTTCGGCCATTTCATGTAAAT